TATTTATTCCAAAACTAATTATTCAAATTAGTTTGGAATAGCTAAAATAAGAAAAAAGGTATTTTAATGCCCAATTCTCTGCAATTCCATTTTCCCACACTGAAGTTCTCTTGGCCACAATATATCCCTGGAGCTTCCCTTCACTGTGGGTATGTCAAAGTTATTTATTTCACAGGGTGTTGTGGGGTGTTGTTTTTTTTTTTAGCAGTTTTCAACTATTTCAGAGTTTTATAAACTTTTACTAACAATTTTAAGTATTCTCATATTTCCTGTGACTCAGCTTACAGGATCTGCAAAGGCTAGTGGCCCAGGAGTTGTGCCCAGAACTGCACTAGCCCCACCCAGAACCACATCTACAATCATAGACACACATGTCTTAACAGATGGAGGTAAAACAGTCCTTCTCAACATAAAAATCAAGGTTCTGACAACCCCTGTATTTGGAATATTCATATGCAGGACCATTATTGAGAAAATAGGTATGGAGGGATTGTGACTATAGGTAAAACCAAATGAAAAACTTTACATTCACGAAAATAAAACCATAGACACTAAATGACAATGTACATATCTTAAATTAGTAATCTTGGGTACATTTTAACTAATAATCCATTTGCCTTTCCTTGTCAATAGAAACGTTTTAGGATCTTCCTCATAATTTCAATGAGATACTTATAATTTTGGTTTCTTGCAGATATTATATACACCAAGAAGTAAGTTTTTCTCTGTCTAATCCTCTGCAAATGTCCAGTGCCTTTGATTTCATAATTTGGAGATGGTGACCTCTCACTCCCCAGACCTACTACAGTCCCAAGATGCAGAATCTCTTGAATATTTGAGATGCTTTGGAAAACTTTTATTTGAACTTTTTGGCCCAGCAGACTAAGTGTTTTCCAACCTCCCTCCTGTGATACCAGCTTATGTAGCCTTATCTTTGGCCATAGAAACTTTGGTCAAAACATTTATCATCAGCCCCCTGAAGACAAGTGACAGGTTTAAGTAGCCTCCGTACTACTGGACAGGGAGTGTAGACTGAAGTACTAACTTTACTTACCCTCATCTTCCTTCCCTATTTCTTCTGGGAATGCACAACCTACTTTGGTAATGCCCTTTGCTTTGCCTCCTTTTGTTTAATCCTCGATGTCTCTTTTTCCTAATCATGGAAGCAGTAGTACATACTTGGAACTGAAATTGATGAGGAAAAGATATTCAGAAGTACACTAGGACACTTGCATTTTGAGTAAGAGAACTTGAGGTGGGGGAGGGATCACAGAACCCCCCTCAGTTTATGACAGCCTGCTTTATCCTCCACGGAAGGGAAGGAGATCAAGGTACAGTTCCTCCATGTTGAAAACTTTTGGTAAATCACGTTTTTCATTCCATGGGACCTGATTTATAAAACACTTCCTATTGGCTTCTTATTCTTCCTTTTCCATATTAAAAATTTTTTCTGGGGCTGGCCCAGTGGTGTAGTGGTTAAGTTCACGCGCTTCACTTCGGTGGCCTGGGGTTCACAGGTTGAAATCCTGGGTGCGGACTTACGCACTGCTCATCAAGCCATGCTGTGGCAGTGTCCCATATACAAAAAGTAGAGGAGGATGGGCATGGATGTTAGCTCAGAGCCAATCTTCCTCAGCAAAAAGAGGAAGATTGGCAACAGACGTTAGCTCAGGGCCAGTCTTCCTCACCAAAAAAAATAAAAACAAAAAATTTTTCTGCTTTATCTTCTATTATTCTCATTGTTTTCTGCACCTCTATCAAATTCTTTTCTTTTACCCCATCTTCTTTTTCCTTCCTAATGCCAGATCTCTGTATTTTCCAAGTCTCCAAACTAGCTTAATTGTTTCAGCAACTGAAAGTACTAAATATCCCTTTCTTTGGGTCATTTAGAGACACCCTGTGCAGGACACCCCTGGAAATGCTCGATGTTGCTGCTAACAGAGCAGAGCTGTTGCAGTAGAAGGTTCTTCACGCTATTTCTTATTTATTTTTGGTTGTTGAATGTGGGTAAAATACCCTATAATTCAGCAAATCCCGATAAATGAGTGCAGTTAATGCCAGGTAAATTTAAATGTCAACTTCTGAGGTAAGGGGAGAGAAGCAAACAAATAAAAATTAGGAATTTATTCTTAAATGCAGCATCTCAGGGAGGCCGCTCATAGAGTGGTTAAGAACACAGACCCTAGAACCCCAGACTGCACGGGTTTGAATCCAGCTTCATCCCTTATCGACTGTGTGACTTTGGGCACCTTTCTTATCTTTTCTTTGCCTCAGCTTCCTCATCTGTAAAGTGGAGAATAGTTTTACATCATGGGGTTGGTAGAAGGATGAAATGAGTTTATAAAAATCACTTAGAACAGTGCCTGGCAATAGTCAGTGTAACAAATGCCGGTTACTTTTACTCGAACTTATAACAACAAATAGAGCAAGGCCCCATAAACATTTTTAGTTTTCAGAAATATGGGTTTTTTAATAATATTTCTGATTTTTAAAAGATCACAAATGTGGTTTGGATTATTCCAAGAAAAAAAGTTTGGCTTAATAACTGATTAATGAGTTTTTAAGAAAGAAACCATTTAGTATGACCCAGCGCAGAGTGTAAAGTTCACTAACAGGAGATGTCTGGCTGGCATAAAAAACATTACAGAAAATCCTGAGCATGATGTTAAACTCAACTTGGAAACACATGCTTTACATTATTGTCCTATCAGTTCTCCAGTTCCCGGCACATATCGCCAAAGCAGACACTTTTTTTTTCCCCAAGTAGTCATTCTCTGTTATTGCTTTTGACTTAGACAAACGACCTTCTGACTAACTATTGGGAAACTTTTTGTAGGCTGTATTTGTGATTGTTATTTAAAGTGATAGCTGTGACAGACTGTCAAAATATCTTTAGCACTGTGCTTTTCAAAAAGAAAGGATAATTCTTTTGAAAATAATTAAAAGGATAATAGAATCCCAGATACAAGAAGGAATAAGGTCTTCGAGCTCATGGATGGCATTTATCTGCCAAGACAGGGAAGTCTGTTTCAGGAGCTAACCGGTTTTGCTTGCTTCATACTGCTGAGTACACTTGAGTTGCTACAATGGGGGCAAAGTACACTGAGCGGTGCCCCAGCAGATTACTTTTTTAGCCAGGAAAGACTGTGGCAATTCTGCCTCTACAGTAATGGCCAATTCACAGCCATCTAATAGTCTGGCTTTTCACTGAAGATGTGACTAAGTTGGCCTAAACGTTTATTATATATTTAATACATGCACTACTTTTAATAATATTTCTGAACAAATATTGTTCCTTATAACAATTAATTTTACTTTATGCTATTGTCTATACATGAGTTATGGCAGTTTATAGCCAATATGAAGATTAATGAAACATACAAAAATAAAGTGCAAATTTGCATTTTGAACTGAGAGCACGTTCAAGAGGATCTCAGCATTCATTAGAAGAGTTAGATCTTCAGAATTTGAGAGGCCGCGTGATCTGGTGGAGCAAATACAGGCTTAAGAGTCTGATGGCCTTTGAATCCTCCCTTGTTTATTTCCTAGTCATCTGAGACTACACAAGTTATTTAATGCCTCTAAGTCTACTTCTTCATCTATAAAGTGGGGACAATCTCCACCCTGAAACCTTTTAAGAATTCAATTAGATACATATGTGAAAGACTGCCTACCTCACAGGCAGAAAAATTTTGTCTCTCCAACATTCTATTCAACTCCCCCCTCCCTCCCAATGGAAAAAAACTGAACACTAACTAAATGCTCAGAATAATGGTCAAGATTTTCAGTTAAAGAAAATTTCATATGTAAAATGATTACCAGGAAGCACTTTACAGGCAGTGAGGGTGGTCTGCCCTCAGTTTAATAATCAACTTGGTTATTAATTCTATGGTAACGAAATCTCAAAGTACAAAACTTGGAGGTTTTCCTAAGTATTGTAATGAAAACACCATTTGTGTAGATAGCAAAGAGACCCAGGACTCTGAAAAAATTATTTTATTCTGTGGAGAAAAATTCTCCAAGAAAGATATTTGTACTCAGGTCCCTAAAAAGTTGTGTATAGAAACCCATTACATATTAAGCGGGCATTTTGTGTCCAGTTTCCCAAGACTGGAACCCTGGGGAAGACTTCAGGATGGAAAACCTTACTTGGGAACAGAGGTTTGAGCCAAGTTACTTCTAGAGATCGTCCCAGACCATCTCCAAAAGCCAAGTAGTATGTGAAGATGTAAAATCGACGATGGATGGATGATTAAGTAGGCAAGGAGATGACAGATGACCGCCATGGGGGCTTGCTACGGGGAAGCAGGAAGGAGCAGGCGGTAGGAACCGAGGGCTTCCCTCGGGGGCCCAGCAGCCTTCCCGCTGCCTCCGGGGTTCCCGACACACTCCTCGGAACCCTCGGTCCACGAAGAGGCTGAGCTTGGAAGAGACCGGTCAAGAATCGCCCTCCCACCCTGCACCAGTGGTCCCCTCCCGGGGAGACCTCCTGCGCCCCGCGACAGTGCGGCATCAACGGCCACGGAATGCGCATCTCTGCACCTAAAATGCAGTAGGGCCGACTTAGAGCCCCAGGTGCACATCCACGGTACAGTCGCTAACAGGCACTACTCCTGGGACCTGTGCGTCTGCTTAGGATTTGAGGCAATTCTTCAGAAACCAGCCACGGTAGGGGGACGCAGGCTCTCGGTGGAGGCAAAGTTCTCAGCCCTGAGTGCGCGGGGGGTAACCTCGGGGCTCTTTTTTATCAACTCTCACTCCCCAGCCTGATTTTCTTCTGTCAATTCATCCCTAAAGATAATGTCGAAGTTGGGGGGCACGGTTTTAAAAACACAGCATCCGAGCATCCCTGAGTGTGCGAAGGACCCAGACAAGCCCGCGCACCCGTCAGTACCGGCCGCACACGCGATGCCGCCCAAAGAGAAAATAAGCCGCCACGCAGGCGCACGCCGTCCCCCGGCCCATCCGCCCGTCCGCCCCTCACGCCCTTTGGCCCGCCCCGCCACTAGCCCCGCCCCGCCCGCCGATCCTCTGCATCTCCCGCCCAGGCCGGCTTCGCCTCAGCCTGCGCTGCGCCCTCCCGGCCTGGGGCGTCGCTGGACCCGCCTCCGCGCTCCGCACAGACACCCCCGGCGCTCGGGCGGGGGCGGAAGGCGGAGCGGAGGGGCGGGGGGCGGTGTCGCCGCGGTCTAGGGGCGGCGGGCGGCAGGCTGCGGCCACGGTGTCGGAGGTCCCTGCGCGATGGCCGCCTCGGTGTTCTGCTGCCTGCGGTGCTGTAGAGACGGCGGGACGGGCCACATCCCTCTGAAGGAGATGCCGGCCGTGCAGCTGGACACGCAGCACATGGGTAAGGGCCCTCCCTTCCCCGGACCCAACGGCCCGCCGCGGGTCGGGCAGTGCGGGGGTCGGAAGGACCACACGCGGCCCTGCCCCCGCCGGGCGCCGCCCCCGCTCCTCTCCCGGCGACGCTGCTCTGACCTGTTTTGGTCTCGCGGATCTCCCGCAGACGCCGGCCGACTCCACCTCGGCCCGGGTCTGTGTTCAAGGCTGCGCAGCCCTGTCAGCTCCTGTCATCGGGGGTGGGTGTGTGGACCTACCCGTTTCCCCTGGAATCTCCTCCGAGCTGCCGCCTCCTGAGACTCGTCAGACGTCCCCAGGCGGGGAGCGCTCTGGTGCTCCTCCTACAGGGCCCTACTGCCGATCGCCAATCCCATTGTCAGCGTGCTTTAGGTCTGATCTCGGCTCCTTCTGCCCTGACAGTTTTCTCTGCAGCCTGTCATTTATACGTTGAAGCTTGTTTTATTGGAAGTGATTTTCCTCTCACCTCCTAAAGTCAAATCAAGACAAATTGCAGAAGCCTGAAGTCGCATCTCAGGCTAGAACATGCCATTTTAGCTAAATCCTCCCATTGCCCGACTCCTCCTTAGTCATGGTTGGAGGTGCTGTAATTTCATCTGAGTGGCCTCTTCCCAACAGGTCAGGCTATTGCGAAATAAAACAGCACTTTGCTCCTTTGCATCTGTGTTTTTTTCATCCCAATTTCAAATGGGCATATAATTTCTCATCTAACGTTCTTCCTTTCCCCTCTGTAGCCTCGTTCACCACCTTATTATTATTTCTGTTCTTAGACTTTTCCCATATAGTTCCATGCGTCTGTAGTATGGTTCTAGAAGGAGAGATTTCCCACTATTATTTTTTTAGTTAGAGTACTGTCTTTGTGGATTGTTCAGTTCTAAATATACTTCTGCACTTTCGATTTTTCCCACAGCTCTCATTGGCCAAAAGACAGTGCATTGAAATAACAAAGGCAATTCTTAATATGTATTTATAGCAAAACCCTCTCCTGCCCAGATTCTTTATAATTCTGGAAACACTCTGCCTATTATATTTCTGTATTTTTATGGCATGTACTAACCCACAAATGTGATAATTGTATACCACTTTGTACATGGGTATTTACTTTAATTCTTAGATTTCCAAAGTGTAATACAGAACCTTAGTACATAAATATATAAAGTATGTGTGTATATGTATATCTCTTTAAATTATTTCTTATCTGTAATCATTTATAGAGAGTGGATGTTCAAATCCTTTAATTTCCTGCAGAAAACGTTTCCATTTCATTGATTCATTCACTCAACTCATGTTTACTGAGCGACTGTCAGGTGGTGGGCATTATTTTAGGTGCCAGGAACACAGTAAAGGATAACCATACATAGTTCCTGGAGCTTATGATCAGCTTTAGCTCTTTCTGTCTCTACTGCCAAACTCCTGAATTACTGCCGTCTGCTCTTTATAGCATTCCTTTTCTCCAGTCTCTTCTCCATGAAGAGCTGGTCAGTTGTACTCCCTCCACTATGTTCTCCTTTTTCCAAAGCTGCCCAGCAACTTTCAGTAGAGTAATGTCATCCTCCAATTTTCTACCTGCATGGAAATTTTTTCTTAACTTTCAATGATCTCAAATTGTTTAATCACAGAAGAAGCCTGGTTTTAGAAACTGAATAATGTGAAGGAGAGGAAAGGCTTGTTGAGTTAGGAGAATGTTTCAAGCATGAATTCATCTTAAGTTGAAAATATGAGAAGTACACTGAGCAAGTATGCAGGTATTTGGATATGTGAAAGATTATATTAGATAACCTAAAGAATGTGATTGCTTTTTTTCTTTTTTAAGAAAATAGACTATACATTTCATATCCAAACAAATGTTGTCTCTCTCAAAGGTGTCATTTATTTTGATGATGCTGCATTACTTAAATCATTTTGGAATTCCTCTTTTGGGACTTTCTGTGGCATAGTTTTTGTAAATGTCTTCATTTTTGCCATATCTTCTGCATTTAATTGTAAATTGACTTTTTAGAGGTGAAGGTTTTCCAAGGTAGTTACTTTGAAAGGGATGCCACTCATTTGGAAAAGTCTAATGCTTCTGAAAACATTCTCTTTGGCTGTTTATTTGCCTTGATTTTCTAAGTAGTACTGATGATTAATAAAACTACCCAAATCACATAGATCCTTAAAAAAGAGGAATGGAATAAGCTTAAAATAATTCCCTAATGATTCACAAACACTCTAGAATGTTCTCTGAATATATTCATCTTTCTATAAAAAACATCTCAGTACCTAGCAGAATGTTTTGGAGATAAATGATATTGAAGTAGGAGAATAATACTATACTCAGAGTTGGTTGTGTGGTTCCAACTGACAATAGACTATATTGTATGCAGGGTCTTCTGATAATTCCATTAACCTAGCACCTTTAGATGATATACAAGATAATAAGTTATCCACTGTAGAAGCTTGTTATTAGAAGGTTTTACTATGTATGGGGACCACAGAGCATTGCTAGTTAAGAAAGAAATACCATTTATTTGCATAATTCTTTGAATTGCATTTCACTTAGGATGCTTTCAGTTACAAGTAGTAAAAACTACTACTCAGAATTGTTTAAACAATGAAGGAAACTTATTGGTTCATGTAACTGAAAAAAGTACACAGGCAGCACTGGCTTCAGGAAAGCCTCAGTGCTGCCAAGGAGTGGGTTTCTTTTCGTCTGGTTCCTCCGCCTTCTGCTGCTTATTCCTGAAGGCTGGCTTCCTTGAGAACTTGCAGCCGCTCCCTGGGCTTCCTCATTCAGGAGTCCAGCAAGAATGAGAGAATCCCTTCATTCTCTGCAAAAGTCCTGAGACTATCTTTGATTATAGAGGCTTAGATCATATAACCGTTCTTCAGTCAGTTACTGTGGCCAAGAAATGTGGAATGCACTGATTGACTTAACCTAGGTCAGAGCTGTACCCCTGAAGCCAGAGAGTGAGTCAGCTTCTTTGGAAGTCTTTTGATCTCTAGAGGGAAGTCTGTCGGGAAAGGGAAAACAGATGCTACACGTCCACTGCAGAGGCTTAGCAGAGCATGTTCATTCATTCATTTCTATATCAGTTTTTTGTTGAGCGTCTGCCAGATACCGAGTACTACATTGTCTTTGCCATCAAGGAAGAGCTGGGCCCTGGATGCTCTCCAGTTGAAACTGCTGGAGGTATATGGGATAGCTGGATGTAAATTATTTAAAAAGATATTTTCCCAGAATTTGGGAGTTAACATTTGTAGTTAGAAAAAAATGGATGCTAATGAATTTTTAATAATCATATAATAGGTTCTTAGTTTTACCTTATTTAAGAGAAAGTATCCCTCTTAAATCAACCAGTTTCACATTGTGATAGAATTTGAAAATTTTGCATTTCTCTCATGTCTTTGTCCCAAATAATTTTTTGTTTAAATATGAATTCAGTAGTGAGTGGGAGAACTGCCCCCCTGTTAATGCCTTTTGTTACTATGCTCTAGTTTTGTTTAACCTCCTCTGGAGGAGTCCCATACAGTTCTAATAGCCAGATCTGCTTGGCTTGTACACTTAGAACCAGCGAAGTGCTGATACTGGCCATAAATCTTGGGAGTCACGTGCCTCGGTGTTATGGGATATATCTTACATATTAGAATTATGTTAAGTCTCTTGTTCTCTGATATACATGCTTCCTGTAATCAAGATTTGGAAAAGAATTGGTATTGGGGTCATATTGTTATGAGACAATGTCTTTCTCACTCTCATCTAGCAAATGTTATTTGAGCTAAACTAAAATTTTCCATGAGAATGAAATGCATTTAATGATGTTAAAACCTTATTTACATATTTGCAATATGTTTGATAGTAGCTATCTTATAAAAATTTCTAAGATCCTAAAATTAGGGGGCTGGCCGGTGGCGCAGCGGTTAAGTTCACACGTTCCACTTTGGCGGCCTGGGGTTTGCTGGTTTGGATCCTGGGTGTGGCCCTACTCACTGTTCATCAAGCCATGCTGAGGCGACGTCCCCCATAGAAGAGCTACAACTCTACAACTGTGATATACAACTATGTACTGGGGCTTTGGGGAGAGAAAAGAAAAAAGAGGAAGATTGGCAACAGATGTTAGCACAGGGCCAATATTCCTCAAAAAAAAAAAAAAGTTAAAAAATTAACAAAAAGATCCTAAAATTAGCATTTTTCATTTCAAGAACATAGATGCGTGTTTCTTTCCATATTCCATGTACTCTTCACTTCTTACTTGACTAAGGCACTAGCATAGTACCTTGTACCTAGTAGATATTCAGTCAATTTTTAGTAGGTTCTTTTAATTCCTTTGGATTGAATTGAAAATTGTACTAATTTACCAAAGTTTCTTTTAAATATTTATGTTTTTATTTAAATTAAGAGATTTATGAAATCATCAAATTGATTTATTGGCTAAAAATTAAAGAAAGTTAGTCTATTTCTACCTTAAAAGTCTTTTAAATATTCAGTATAATTTAGAGTTATTAGAGTTTATTTGAAGCTGCCTAATTAAACAAGATTTCTAGCCACAAATCAATGTTAAATATAAACGTTCTCTTCAGGGGCCTGCCCGGTGGCTTAGCAGTTAAGTGTGTGCACTCCACTGCTGGTGGCCCGGGTTCGGATCCCCGGCGCGCACCGACGCACTGCTTCTCCGGCCATGCTGAGGCCGCGTCCCACATACAGCAACTAGAAGGATGTGCAGCTATGACATACAACTATCTACTGGGGCTTTGGGGGAAAAAATAAATAAATAAAATAAATAAATAAATAAAATAAATGTTCTCTTCAGGAAAAAAACAGTGAATTAAATATTTAAAATAGTTTATCAATATTTATATATTTCACAGTACATATAGTGTCCCTATTTTTGTGGACCAAGAATTAAAAGTGAAACAGAAATTAACCTTGATTTTTGGATAAGAAAACACAAAACTTTACACAGTGTTTGCATTTTTTGTTTAGGAACAGATGTTGTCATTGTGAAAAATGGGAGAAGAATATGTGGAACAGGAGGTTGTTTAGCCAGTGCACCTTTACATCAAAACAAAAGCTACTTTGAATTCAAAATCCAGTCCACAGGTTGGTATAATGGTACTTTACTATTAAAAGTCCTAATTGTTCTAAATATTAGGAGTAATTTTCAATATATGAAAAAGATTAATGAGGTAATAAAAAAACACCAAACTCTTACTTAAAAGACCTTTTTCTTCTACCTTTTGTTCTGTGATCTTGGTTTAATTAGTTAATTTAGTTAAATTAGGTTCAGTTCTCATCTATAAAATTGAATTATAGGCGCTAACCTTCCTGATTCACATGAGCTATGTGTATGAAAGTGTTTTAAAGACAGGACAGTGTAAGGTACTTAGCATTATTATTAGTATAATTAATTATTAGTAGCAGCTGGATGCACCATTTCATTTGGTCAAGCATATAAGGTGTAGACTCTTGCTGTTTTATCTTAGGATAAAATCATTTTTATGATCCTGAGTTTTTCTCTTTACTCTTGTTAAGATGCCCTGATTCAGTGTCTTCTGAAGCAATCAGCAGATTTAGAATTCTGATAGAAGTCTAAAGTCTATACTTCTCTTTAAAAATTTATGGAGTTTCTTGAATTGAATAGCAGTTCTATGTGACTATTATAATAGTTAACAACGATTAATTGTGGCAGTATTGGATATGGGGAAATTTTTTTTTTAAGCTTTGTTATAAAGAAACTTCTAGTGGAATATGGCATAAGTAATATAGGTATAGAATAGGAAGATTAGAGTAGAGTAAATTAATCCTGTTCTTACTCGACTAGCTTGAACGATATAAAAGATCCCTCTGGGGCTCGTTTTCTAAATTAGTTTTAAACACTGATTTTCTTAAGTATAGGAAGTAAGTATGAATCTATCCTCCATCTCATTCTTTTATAAGTTAGCTGCAGAATGTCTCTGGTTACTGTAATCTTCTCAAGTATAACATACTTGTTTCTTGAGAGAAGCAAATATTTTCTTGAGCCTTAAATCTAATACAAATTTTTATGTACATTTCCTTTGAAGAGTGATATCCCCAGTGATATCCTTGGAATAAATGCATTGTTAGAGTTTGTAGCATTGATGTCTCAATGAAAGCTTGAGGCAATTGTGCCAAAGTGTGTCACAGCGTGCACAGTTCTTTAAGGAGACTCTGTAACCCTCTCTAGAACTGTTGTCCCATGAAATTAGCAATCATTTCCTGTCACTCTTCAAATTGTCCCACTTTGGAGGATAAATTATATAGTCAAATTTTTTACAAGTCAAGACAGTGAAGTCCAGAATCTTTCTGATTCTGGATGGTCTCACTCAGTCCAGAAAAATTAATTGATTGACAACACTGTCTTCAAACCTTCTTCCATTGATAGAATATCTCCTAACTGCTTTTGATAAAAACTGAGAAGGAAACAGTTTGAGACAAAATCCAGAGGTCTAGGTATTCTGTTTGGCCGGTTAAGAGGAGAGCTACTTGCTTTAAAAGTCAGCTTAGACCAAAAGGCTTTAAATTCACTAACTTAAGGTATTGGGTAAGAAAATGATTTTATACTTTATCATTTTCTCCTCTGCATGATATATACCAGATCGTATATTATTTGTCATATGTTATAGATGCAAAAGCTAAAGACAGTAATTCCCCACTTCTCAGAGGTAGTGCTTTAAATAGAACCCCAGGACGTTTCAATTCAATGTGTAGCTTCTTCAAAATGTTTTTTAGAGAATAATGATGATGATGATGATGATGATGATAGTAGCTAGTATTTTTTAAAAAATGCTTACTCTGTGCTTTTCTTACCCATTTTTTGTTGAATACTTACACCATCCCAAGTGCCTTACTTGGATTATCTTGCTATATCTTATAAAAACCTTGTGAGGTGAGTACTGTTGGAATCCACAGTTCACGGGTAAGGAAGCAGAGAGAGGTTAAACGACTTGCCCAAGATGACATAGCTAAGTCAGGATTTAAATGTAGGCAGTACAACTTCAAGGCCCACTCTCTTATCTCCCAGGCTGTACTATGTCTGCAGAGAACATAGTATGGTTTGCAAACTACTTTAAAAAGATTTTTTTAAAAGATTAACAAAAAAATAGTTTAGTGATAATATGCCACTTCTTTTAAAAACAATGTACACTCTCTTTTAAAACAACTCCTTTCATATTTGTATTCTTTAGATTTTGGGGGCATTTAAACTATTATATTTTTAGGAATCTGGGGTATTGGCGTTGCAACTCAGAAGGTTAACTTGAATCAGATTCCTCTCGGCCGAGATGTGCACAGTCTGGTGATGAGAAATGATGGAGCCCTGTACCACAACAACGAGGAGAAAAATAGACTGCCAGCAAACAGCCTTCCACAGGAGGGAGACGTTGTGGTGAGTTTTCTTGTGGAGTTGTTTTCCACTGTAAATTATTAAACTTGAACTATTTTTAGTATAATATGTTTTGCCTGGGAGTTTGTGGTTTGAATTCCAAAATACCAGGATTGGATCTAATGAGATGGTACATTTTCCAAAGAGAGTGCTTGGTGTAGATGCTGCTGCATTCCCTAACTGCCTTCTGCTTTCTAGAGCTGCTGCTGGCCGGGAAAATCCGTGTGAGCCCTTATTTCCATTCGAGAGAATTAACGACAGGTTGTCTGCTCATTATCATTTTCTGCTTCTCTCATATCAGAGAAATCTTGGCCCACAATTTTAAAAGTTTGCTGAGCCTTATATTAGAAAATATTAGGTATTTTTGCAGCTGGAGATCTCTTAGAGAAAATTTTGACATTTATTACTTAATTTGTTATGAACTTCTGTTAAAGAATTACAGCATTTTATCAGGCGTGTTGGTCCTACTTAAACATAATCTTATTAAACTTCCTTTACTTCCAGAACTCTTCAAAGAACTGGACTCAAAATCCTAAGGCTTGATTGTAGGAAAGTTTTTTGGAAAGTAGGGGATAGGAAGAGTTATATATTATTAAAACTTCTCTATTTTTTTTCCCAGCTAGATATATTTAAGTCTTTACCAAAGCCACGCTGTTGAAAGTGTAATCCAAAGTTCCCTTTCTGTCCTTTCCACATAGTTCTCTCGTATGGTGGTATCCAAGAACCTTATCCACTGAGTTCAGGCTGTTAGCCATTGATTGAGAACAGAGTCCTTGGGTCTCCTTTAGCAAGGGCGCCTTGGGTTCCTGGCTCTGGTACCAAGTTGAAAGGAATCTGTAAATAATGAGGGGAAGTTTCTAATAATAAGATGACACAGACAAGGTAAATCCAGGTTATTGAATTAAAGAAATATATAGTATTTTGGAGAGAATGAAGAAAAATGTGGAAGTTAAGATTTTTAATTATGGTCTGATTTTCTCTTTTCTGCAATTTAAAAACTATGAAGAACACTTAGTTTTTAAATAGGTAAATTGTTGAAAGTGTTTTTTTCCTAAATTGACTAAAGATAAAAGGAGATGAAAGGCATAAACCATTTTTAAAATCTGCTTTTCCCCATTCTTTTTGAATGGTTGGTCCTGTATTTATAGATCATTGCCAGACGTCCATGATATGGAACACCCTTATTCCAATGGTTATTTCTTGGAAGAGAATCTTGAAGTCAAGCTGAGGCTGTCAACCTGTTTACACTAAAAGATGAAATTCAAACATAAGAAAGGATAATCAGTAACAAATGTTTTCCTTTGTTGATATACTGAACTTCTACTGTGTTTTATTCTTGCCTTCCTGTCTCTTTCACTGAGATGACTGATACTACAAATTGACAGATTTAAGAATATCATTTTTAGTTTGTCAGCATTATTAAATTAGACTTTGAGTTTTCATGCCCATTCTGATAAAAGGAGGACTAAAAAAGATGAAATATGTGCAGAACAAGAAAAGTAGAACATTACCCTACGTATTAACTTTATCTTCCTAGTTCAAACACTTGAGGACAAATTTCACCAAATTGCTGACAGTGGCATAGGAAAAGTAGAATGGATTATAAGACAGGAAAAACATTCTCATATGTGTAGAACTTCAGTCATATACCATTCTCTGAGGAGAAATCAAGAAGAGTAAGCTTCTAACACCCAACCAAATGATTATAGTCATACAATAATCATACAGCACCAACAGGGCCTACCACAGCACTAGGAAGGCATACGTGAAACAACAGCTTATTCTTACTTTTTCCTTTTATATATAATTTTGAAAAGTGCAAATTACGTTCTAAAATTGCATTTTTCAGTTTAATTTTAGAGAAGTTTTATAGACATTCTCTGTAGTAATAATAATAGCAAACACTTCTCTAGCATTTATTATGGGCCAGGCACTGTTTTAAGTGCCTGTCAGGGATTAAATTGTTTAATCCTCATAATGACCCTATGAAATAGGTAGTATTATTATCACATTTTACAGATTAGGAGAAGTTAAGTAACTTCTTGTATGGGGTGATCCCAGGATTATACTACAGGCAGCCTAATTTCAGAGTCTAGTCACTAAACCTGCAAACAATTATTCATAAATGCATAGAACACATCGGATTTTTTGGTAGTATTATGACAGAATCAAACCTAGTTTCTAGATCATAAAAGGACAGATTAAGCTAGAAAATACCTGAACTAAACTGATGGGGGGTGGGGGTTCACACATCCTTCCTCGCTTCTTTCTTGGGTGTTGCGATTTTGCTGTTATGCTGGAGGTTTGGGTTTAAAACTTGCTTGCAGTAGGTTATGCGGCCACCGGGTGGTGGAGGGTGCCTGGATTACAACCACTGGTCTGAGGGGCTGGGTTTCCTGTAGTCCTATAAAGAGAGTAACATATTTTGTTTTTTATGTAATTATGTTTTTGTTTTTTAAATGAAAACAGACCTCTTCATTAAAAAAGCTAATCCTAGCCATCAGTTAGCTTTATTATTATATTTAAATACTTAAACTGAAATGAAACAATAGCAATCTGTTTATCTTGCTCAGTATTCCTTAACTATTAGTAAATCTAACCCTGGCTTTGCTAAGGTTTGAGAGTCTTTTATAGCACTTAACACATAACGGCAGCCTTTGCTGTCTTACTGGGAAGTGGAGGAGTACAGACTAGATTGTCTGTAAGATCTTTTTCTACCTTTAAAAAGCTTTAAAATTGATATAATGTATCCACAGTCAGAAATCCTCAAAGTGGTTGCTTCTTGGTCTGTGATGATTTCTCTATTGAAAGATCTCTGCTGTCTGTTCTTATTTCTTCAAAGGAAAACTCCCTTTTTGTCATCAGTTAGTAACTATTATGTAATATTTTAAAGAGAGTTTTAAAAGTTTTAAAGTTTTAAATTGCATGGTAATTAAAGATAAGTATTCTTAAGCCATAGTGCATGGGTTTAAATCCCAGCTCTGCCACTTCCTAGCTGTGCAGTCTTCGGTAAAGTATTTAACTTCTCTGTGCTTTAGCTACCTCATCTGTGGAATGGAGATAATAATAATACTTATCTTGTTGTGAGGGTTAAATGAATAAATATGTGCCTAGAATAGTGGTTGCTACATAATACAGGCTAAGTGTTTTCCAGTGTTTTAATATTAATAATTGTTATTGTGATTTTTGTACCATTAATAATGTACAAAGTAATATATTTTTATTCCATTGTCTTTTTTTTTAAAGCAGATGTAGTTTTATT